CAGAGTACACAATTACGACATAGAAAGGTTTTTTTTTCGCGTCCGGTTTAGTTTCACGAGGCACAAGAAATATCGAAATTGGAACGATCGCGAATTTTTCCAGCCACTACGACATTTGACTCTTCACAACGACTAATGGAATGGCTACTAAATGTAATTATAATAAACCTATGCCAAGAATAATTAAATAACAGAACTGTAGCAAAGGAAGTTTTTCTGACAGCATCTCGATCTTAACGGAGTCCTCGGTCACACTGAGAGTGAGTAACTCATAACTTGACACACCGAACCTCCAATTATTATCACACGTTCTTCGCTTGTACCTCTGTAGCCTCCTTTTTCAATCGTTCCCAGGGAACCAACAATAGCCTTTTAAAACACTGAACGACTCGCCATCCGCCTTTCCGGCCTTGCGCCTCTTGAGACCGGCGAGGACCTCCCCCGCGAAGGCCCCGGCCGACAGAGCCATCCCGAAGGCCCACAGGTAGAAAGCTCCCTGGAGGTGGTACAGTCCGAAACTCACTCTCGTCGTGGTGTCCTTGTCGTAGTACTCGTTCAGCTGGGTCTGATTGTGAGCGAGTTCGAACGAGACCTTGAACCATCTGTCAAGAAGACCGACTTCCCTGAAACGCTGCAGGTAGGCGTCTATCGACTCCATCAAGAGACTTTTCTTCTGGAAGGCCCAAGCCACTTCGACGCAGAAGAAAAAGTTGAGGGCGAGGCGGAATTTCTCTTTCCCTCGCCGGATAACGATGCCCTTGGCGTCGCTACTGAGCTCGATGAATGCTACCTTGTCGTTGCGGGATGTGAAGTACTCTTCCAGGGGTTCGAAGGAGTACCAATGCTCGTCCATTTCGATGTGATCGAGTCGCTTTCGGAAATTTGCGTAATGCTCTGAGGTTTCGAGGACACGATCCACGCCGTCTCCGTAGTTGACCTTGCCGTAGCTCAGGTCGCTGGCGAGCAGGTCCTCGAGGGAATCCACGGTAGGAATGAAGATCGGAAAACTGAGGAACGAGACCAAAGCGGAATTGTACCCCGCCATCAACACGATGCAGACGAGCGTGAACGCCGCCCAAAACACTCTCGTCGAGCTTCCCCCGATCTTCAGGTGGAAACTCTGCCCGCACACAGCTTGGACGGTGTGCAACCAACCGTACACGAACGTCATCCTCCTCCTCCTGTACGGGCAGAGGTTGTTGAATAGACTGAGTCCGACCGCAGCGAGGATGCTAGATGCGAAGATGAGCGCCCACGCAGACGGTTGAAATGGGAGGAAGATGTTCTTCCACACCGGGATGGGTCTGGCGGGCCTCGTCAAGATGGACAGGCAGTCCTGACCCACCGATCGGGTGAAGTCCACCAACGCCGCCGATTCGGCCGTGACCTGGAGTCCGCTCATCGCGAAGTCCACCGTGTCGGTCAACACGTCGCCAATCATTCCGATGGGCTTCCCCTCACCGTCGTATTCCACGCCCCATATCAAGTCGGCCGTTTGGTGGAGAGCGATGGAGAAGTTGAGAAGATGGGACAGTTCGATGGCGATGCGGTACTCATATCCGTCCTGATGGAACACTCCGCTGGTTCCAATCTGGATGACCCAGGGATTGAATTCCAAGATGCCGATGCGATATGCACGTCCTTGGAAATCCCGCACTCTATTGCGAAACATAAACCTTCCCAGGTCCTCGACGTCGTCCACGGTGTCGAATTCCGAAAGAAGACGAAAACGACGTTGAGAGCAGAAGACACAGGGAGTGTATAACCGAATCGGCATCTGAGTCGCCACGAATTCGAAAACCCGGTTCCAGAGAAACTCGTCCAACCCTGCGATGAATCTCGAGTACACATCCTGCAATCGCCCCGATCCCTGAACGAAGACGAGAACGTAATCGGGAACGTATGATCCCTGTCGCAGACCGAGGCCCTCCGTCGCATTCACGCCATCGACCAGGCACTCGTCGGAAAGGACGAAAACGGTGCACAAAGCCCGACCTTCGTCGGCGGCCCACTGGAAGCCCACTTCCCACACCCGATAGGCTCCACGACCCTCACCGATCATCTGATACCCACGGACGTCCCCCGGACAGAGCAGGAGAATCGGCTCGCACGTTCTTCCCAGTTTCTCTTCGAGCCTCGACAGGACGCGATCCCGAATGTCCCCCGCAGATGCGATGAGGATGCTCCACGCGACGACCACGGTCGTGAAAAGGGACATCTCCGAGTTGAAGAAGTCGTCAGTCCAGGGTCCGGTGTCGACCGACTATCGAGCAAAGAAATATTTATATAAGTTTACACTTACAAGCATGAGTCTCCTAGCATCCAGACTCGAGTAACCCCATTTAATCGTTCAAGGGCAAAAGGGCGTGAGCATTTTATTATGCACTTTATTCGTGTGTTGTTTTCCCCGTTGAGCACGAACGAGTTCCGGTTCTCACCTTCGATGATCAGACGCAAGCTTTCGTCATTCTGGTAATGAAAGTTTGCGTGCAACGTTTATTTGCCTTACACGCGAAAGGCAAATAACCGCATAAATATACACCTTGGAAAAAAGGGTCTATTGCATAATTAACGAACTATAGCATAAATTCGGACCAACATACTTAATAGCAGTTTTGTTCTATTCTGAATAATCCGAAAACAGGCGATCCTAGCACCACAAGCGGGAATAAACGTGGACTGTCGCTGCTTCGCTCCACGCGCACTGCAAGATGTACTGCGGAAATTCCTCTCTCGTCCCTTGAATGCGATGCATATTTCAAGGCATCCTCTTTCATAAGAAATTGAAGAACTGGAGAGGTTACAAGAACAGCGTTAATTGGCAATCGATTGAAAGTCGATATAATTTTCCTGCCTAATTGCGATCCCATTCTTCTTCTTTTATCATCTGCCCCCCCCCCTCTCCCTTTCACATGGGTTTCCTCTTCTATCCTCGAGGATTATTGGACCTGCTCTCTATTTTCGAATGGAAAGTTGGAGGGAGGAGAGCTCCGTCGCTTCCACTTCCGCGCGAGAGGGGAGGTGGAGGAAGTGAATGTTCACGGCCGACTTATCTTTCATTACGCCCATTTTTCTCAGCTAAGGGTGTTCCTTTCCTGCTCTATCGGGTAGGAATGTCTCTTCTTTTAATCGGCCGACGAGAACTATGCAGTCGAGACGCGTGCAACGGCTGCGATACGATGATCTGAGAACGTGGACGTTTTTGGCGAGGCGGAACTCGAAGCACCCGAGAAAACCGGATAATTAATTAATAATTTCATTTCGAAAGGTTTTTCGTCGCAAAGAATTCACGGAGTCGCTCGTACAGTTGAATGATTCCGTGGACTCGACTCACCTCGACTCCGATGTGATGATGACACACCTGACACTTCTGCAACTGCGCTTCTACGCCTGCATTCCACCTCCTTTCTTTATTGTGACGGTCGTGATCGTTAGGACTCGTAATTGCATGATTTATGGCCGGAAAGCATGAAAAAAAACGACGGGGCATTAGTAACTCACTGATCAATAAAGCACGAGGCCGTGCGGAAATTTCCTACTAATTCCTCCGACGAATCTTGAGAAATGCGCAAATGAAGACTAAACGACTGCGCACAATATTTCGTCGCCGGATATCCCAACTTCCGAGAATATGTAATTAGGTGATACTAATTGGAACCAAGGTGTGTTTTGTAAGCTCCCGTACAAGAACGTCAGCGGCGACTCAACAGTGAACCACCGGTGGGATTGAGTTCAACGGAAACTCAATGACGGTTTAATGGTAACAGAGGCTGAACTTCCGTTGAATGGTTGTTGATGAAAACCGGTGCTTCGAAAATCACCGTTGATTCGGGGGCTTGGGCTTATCCCACTCACCATGTTTCCTTCGATGAAACGGGAACAACGATAGCTGTGTTGTCGAATGCAGGAAAACTCTGACTTTTGGGGGATTCGTACCCTGCGGGCATATTTCGAGGAGGACTGATTTCGAAGACCTGGGACTGTAACAAATACATTTATTTAAAGTAAGCCTAGAACCCTGGCTAAGGTGTCTGCTAAGGTTAGCAAGGTACTCACCTCAGTCATTCAGTATCCGTCTTAGCACACTGCTTAACTTAGCAGAGTGCTAAGGGGCTCAGGGCACGTGTTACGTCTTGGAACGGCCCTGTTCCTTCCGTGTATACTCGTATATGGCGGCTTCCAAGCGAAAGGCCAATTTCAGTCAACAAGAGCAAATGGTGCTAGTGATAAAATATCAAGAAAAGGCGAAAGTGCTCACACCGAGTTGTCTGGTGTGGGCTTAGCGGCGGACCTCATCGAGGTGAGAACCGGAACTCGTTCGTGCTCAACGGGGAAAACAACACACGAATAAAGTGCATAATAAAATGCTCACGCCCTTTTGCCCTTGAAATCTCACCGGTACTCATCTAATTGGAGTCAGTACATATATAATAGGGCCCTTTTACGTACACGGAGAACACGTAATCCCATTCGGCGGCCGCGCCCACACTGGTAAGAGTACTGCTAAAGACAAGCATCATGCATGGTTGCGCATCACCGACGCTATCAACGCTGCCGGCCTGGGGCCGAAAAGGGACGTCAATGACACGCAAAAGTAATTCCATAACTTGATCCCAAAACTTCGTGCTGAAATAGCGAAATACTAGAAGTCCTGTAGGATAGCTGGTAAGTATCAATCGGCTCTTAGATTTTCTTTGCAAGCCTATTCGAAACTAAGAAAGTTTCCCTAATTTCTTATGTACTACATTTGTTTCGGCCGGTTAGTCCACGAGAAAAGCGTACTTTGTAACTTGAATCTTAGGCATGAGTCTATATGGATATTCCGAACGTTATGCTCTCAATTTCGAGTAGGTAGTGGCCCCACCCCTCAAAACCATCCCCCCTCTCCCAGTTGCACTGGGATAGAGTTCGAGATGACTCGCCATCACTGATGGGGATAGCTGGCGGCATTGAAAGCGCACTAACTAGAAGCAAAGAAGTGCCAATCCCGGAAACGCAGGATGAAGTCCCAATGCTATATGCAGAAGAGTATTCTGATTATGGAGAGGAAATAGAAGACCAACCTTCTTGCAGGTTTGTTATATTCGCCTTTTTTTATAAGTAAAACTTTTAAATTCATTCACTTATGTACCACTAGAAAATGCGTTATTTTAGGACATTGTCATGCGTCCTCCCTTTAAGCTCCTATGCTACAATGCTTTCTTTTTAGTGGCTAATTTTCTAGGGGAGACAATGGCATGGACAGAACCTTACATGGGGTGCACTGGCATGACTATTTCCCTCTCTTCATAATAAGCTGCAGAAAACCAGATTAAAATCAGTTAATGACATCTCTTGAAATCCATACTGCAATTTAAACTGCCCCTCTCAAAAATTAAGGTAGAGAAAATTCAGCAAGTAAGCGTGCTTTTTAAAAAATAATATTAACTCATTGCATGAAGATGATTCAAAAGGGTGGAAACATTCATATTTCCTTTACAGTAGGCAGGAGAAGGGCCAAAAACCCGCACAGATGACGACTAGCAATGGTGATCTTGGCAGGCCTCAGAATAAAGTCCGAAAATCATCTGGAGCCATCCATTCTCTTTTCGAGCAAGCTTTGCCAGCGAAATTGATGGACACACAGGATATAGTTCTTGAAAATCAGATAAAGATTTTGGAGCTGCAGCAGAGAACCCTCGAAGCAGAGGAGAAGGTGGCAATGAAGAAACTACGAGTGCTAGCAAAAGAAGAAGTAAAGGTGAATTTCGAGATCCAGGTTCTTTCTCTTAAGAAGCAGCGTTTACTCGCGCAATGCCAAGATGTCCCTGGACAAAAAAAAGGCCAGCTTCCTCTCATGTGCCGAATGTCAACTTCTCTCAACAGTTCTCCTCTAGGCCACTAGATGGCGGTAAGGGGTTCTCTCATTTCTGAAGGGCCACAAAAGTGCCCTCCCCTTACCCATGGAATCATCTCTCACAAGAGGGTTTTGTAACATCCCCAAATGTCTCGCCTTCCCTCATTATAGCAATCAATAAACTTCGACACTTCCTTACTTGTCATCCCCATCTTCCAGATAGAACCATAGAGTCCAGGCGAGAAATATGCCCATATTCCCTTTTAAAACCACGTAGGAAAATAAGAAGTCTTCATCCGAGAGGGGTTTCAGTAAAGAGACGTGCACACAGGTTCTGTCTCCTGTTTATTTAGGTTGAGAGAAGAATGATACTTCTCTCTACCAAAGGAGGTGGGCGCGCAATCCAGCGAAACATGTGGTCTGGGGCAATAATCATGCGGATCCGGGCAGTACAAGTATTAGTAATGCAAGTTCCCCGACCGTGGGAGAACCCCTAATCGGTAATTAATTTGCACACAAATGCTGCGCCAATATTGACCCCGGTCGCCTTTTCCGTAGTAATGCCTGGGTTTCGAAACCCAAAAATTCCTCCCCGAATCCGATTGGTCAGGAGTCATAGACCATATAGGGATCCTATAGGATCCTATTGGTTTTTCGTGTTTAAAAGACCTAAAGGAAATTATTTAGGTTTCCTATAGGACATTTTCGACAGGGGTGTTTCCTTGCCGGTATGCAACCTGGTGAGCGTGTGGTGAGAGTGGTGGAGCGTAAACCGAACTCCACATACAGGAGCAAAGTATCAATAGCCTTTGGTAGCGCCTATTACCTTTTTTCAACCCCTTCCAGTAGCAAAATTTAACTTCCTCGTATTCCTCCATGAGAGAATCAGCAGTGACGAAATTTAGCTTTCTTCTTCCTCTCACCACACATTAGCTCCAGAAAATTTGAAGCTTCATCTCCCCGGGGTTGTGGAGAACACTGAATCTCGTTTTTAGAGGAATCTCGGTAGTAATTTTCATTCCGTTTATTTCTTCGTCCCTTCCCCCTGGGATAGTTTCGGAAGAACGGGACCAACTGTAAAAAAAATATCAATGTATTGATTTGTACATTACGAAAAGTGGCTTTCTTGTTGTTTGTGTTGCTCCATTTCGCCATGAAAACGAAATTATCTGTCGTTCAATTAGGCTCATAGTGCTTAATCCGGTACCTCCCCCCAGTGTTGCCGGATTCCGTGCCGAAATTATGCCAGATTCAAGATTCTTTCAACCTTTGTATTGTCCTCTGAATTTTGCTTTTTTAATATAAGACATTTTTGTGTTGAGTTCATGAGTTGCACTGAGAATGAAGCAGTGATTAGCAGTGATTGGTAGATGTGGTCGGATATTCAGATGTTATCCGGACATCCTTGAATTAACAAGATGGCGCGTACCATGGATTGTATGCTTCTTGAAGGCATCCCCCCCTCAGGCCTATTCCAGATGGTTCCAGGAACTCCAGGTAGGCCTAACGCTCTATGGCCCACTGAAATGGTTCATGAAACGCGAAACAGGCCTCAAAACGGGAAATGCTGAACTCTCTCTGAAATGGTTCGAGAACGTAGGAAAAGGGCAGCGATTGGCCTAACGTTACACGTGCTCAACGAGATGTCTCGAAGACCACGGTTTCACCCCCATGGGTTTTATTAGCCCTGTAAGTCGAGAATTGAGTTCTTATTGAAAAGAAAAAAGTAGGCCTTGGCGTGACCTGAAGGCAATCTGTTGGTTAGGCCTAGGTCTAACGTTAGTGAGTGCCATAGAGAGGCTGGGGTTGAAAAAAGGGAAAGCCATTGGAAAATTGGTTTTCTCATGACTTCATCTAATATTGCATAGACGATCCTGCCTGAGAGATGCTAATTATTACATTGTTCAAGAGCAGTCAGAAATCTGAAGCTTGCTACGCCAGTACCTATAAAAATGCAGACCAACTTGGCTAAGAAATGCACCTTCAAAGTGGACAAAATAAGTTTTAATGTTTTGGTGAACAAACCTTGTTCTGTTTTGAGTAAAGTCATATGGGAATCATTCTCTTAAGTGAGGAAGGCGATCTGATCTATTCATTCCTGTGGAGTGGATTCAAAATCAGAGTAATCTCTTTCCATGTTGCAGAGAGCAAGCTAAGAAGACAAGTTTTGCTTTCTAAGACGAAGATGATGGAAATGAAGATGATGCTGAAACCTAGATGAACAACTGAGCAATGAATTTCGCAAATGTTTCTGCACCCTCCTATGGGATTGAAATTGACAATATGCATGTGTATTTCGCCTCTGGTAAGTTTAACCCGGAAATCATCAGTGATTACCGTTCCAGTTTGTTAATGGTTGTAATTTCCAAAAAAATTTCAGAATTTCAATTTCCGATTTTTGGGGAGGAAATAAGAGGCATTGCACCTCTTTCATGGTTCATTCATTCAAGAGTGTCTTGATCACCTTAATCCTGCGCCCATCGAGAAAGCACCTGCTTTTTAGGCCAGAAGAAAGTAAGGGATGTTGGTATATAAAGGCCTACACTGGATGCACCGGGAAAAAAAAGATTCATCTTCAATACATTTCTGATTTGCTTTCAAAAAAACAAATGAAGACATCTTTGGAAGGGGACATTTGCAGGCATTCTAGATGTCTTTGAGATGTCTTATTTCTTCATGACGACAGTATTAAGACGGCTTCAAGACATACTTGTGGCTCAATGGCATTGAGAACGAGACTATTCTTGATATAGCAGAATATTCATGATGTAAAAAATATTCACCGTGTAGCAGTCTTGAGGCTCGGGATGACTCGGCCGACCACGCTTTTCCATTCTGGCCTCCACGGCAGTTTCATTTTTTTGCAAATTTATATCTCTGAAAAATGACGAAAACAATTCTGCGAACAGCAGAGGGTGGAATTTCCGAGGAAATGCCCTATATTTTGTTCAAAGTATTCCCGGAAATCCAGGTTCACATACTCTTAGTCTGAAAATTTTAGGACGTAGAATGGGAAATTTCCGAAAACTCTTAACAGTGTCGGAAAAAGCCCAAATGTCGCTCCGATAAGAAACGCATGCTTCAAGTACGGAAAAGCAATCGCGAATCACAGAACTTATCTCGTTCGCCTGCACCGAGAAAGCGACACACGGCAGAGCCACCCGCTTCGAAAATATACGAATATTCTTCCATTGTTATTCCCTTTTTTCTGACATGAAGAAAAAACGTAGGAAGTGATCTTTCTCCATCTGCTTCACCAGAGCATCTAAGCCAGTGCAGTCAAATTTTCCGATTCAGTCGAGTTTGTAAGGTCTTTTCTTCATCGTGAATGAGAAGGTAAAGGAAAGAAGGTAAGATATTAGTAAGATATGCTGTATGGGCGATCGCGAATGACTGACGCTAATTCTAAGCAGGTTCTAGACATGATGAGAGGCTGAAACGTGGTACAGGGATACCAGTTAGCTTGATGACTCCAGAAAAATTACGACTATTGGTGAAAATGCCCTTGGAGCATCTTTTGAGGAAGACTGATGGCCATGACCAAACCCATGGATAAAAGTTTAGGTTAATGTCAGTTTCATACAATTGTTACCTTCGCGAAAGCGGAAGGGAGCGCTGTTGGACTTCGAAGGTGTGTTTCATGAGGGGACTGACTTAGCAGGCCTATATCTAACCCTCGGACAGACGTTCAGGCCCTCAACAATCTTGACCCATCCAGGAACTTCTCGGCATATCTGACCGAGAATCCTGCAGCCTTAGCCTGAGGCGCGAGGCCTCCAACCCCATGCCTTTCTTTCTTCGTCATAGGTTCGGTGGAAGGACACAAGTTGTGGCGTGCCGAAACGCTTCGATATGTGATTGGTTTATATATAGACTATAATAGAAGGGACACAGAAAGATTTTCCCTCAACATTTCGATTTAGAGAGGCTATGCCCAATCGATGTGCGGACGTTTAGGCCAATGCCATTTCTATGCATACATTTCCTTCATCGAATCCAGAACATGATTAGCTATGCACTGCATTTATCAGAAATAACTCATTTTCTCATGGACAACGGTATGTCGCCTTAGGAAGAGTTTCCAAAGGGAACTTAAGAGTCCTGGAGCACAAATTTAGGTATGAATATAACCACGAAACTCTCCATTGTCCTCATATGATTATTGCATTAAAACGCTGATGTAATGTGCTTCTATGTCTGCTTCTATTTGTTTTTTTGAGACGTGTATACAATTAAAAGAGTGTAACGACCACAGGCAGAAATTTTATTCAATATAGAAACACTTAATGACGCACTAAATGTTTACCTCGTGATCTTCATACCGGAAGTAAATATGACATCGCTTTAAATGTTTCAAATAATAAAGGTTTATTTACAGTGCGAGCGTCGAAGGCGCGATGTTTGTCAAAGCCGTTAACCTAGGGGTTTGGGTGGTTATTAGGGGTGATTAGGGGTGAGCTTCGAAAACAGACTATTCCAATGCATTGGTTAATTCCTTGTATCATAGAGCGTCGATACCATGTGCGAGCTCGTCGATAGCGAGTTTGTTCATTTAAGGTTTACCGCATTGGAAACCGATTCCGAAAACGAACTTGATGCATGTGTGAATTTGAAACGTAACCGGAGATTTGTAAAAATTTGCAAATCGAAAAACACAGGCATGTCGTGGGAAAGTTAAAGCATGTGCGACTCCCCCTTCCACGCAACTAATCTCATTCGACACCGGCTTCAGGATAACTGAAGCGTAAGCTGCCTTACGCTCGCCTGTTGCAGGAAAATCTCATGCAGAAAAGGATTTCTCTTCCTGGGATTCCTCATCGTGGGTTTCTGCCACCAGACAGAAGGAAGGAGATCCCGCAACCATTCCGTCGTCCGAGTTGTCCCCCGCGATCTGGCATCCTTGGATGCCATCCGAAAATTCCGGCTCTCCCACTCCGAGGTGAGTCTCGCCGGTTACGTACGATTCGCGGATGGGAAGAAATTGAATCGGTTGACGTCCTGCAGCTGGATTTCTGGAGGGAGCCATCCAAGGTGGATTCCCCTGTGGA